AAGGTTGGGCAATCCTACTTCCATAGTGATACTGCCTTGGAAACCCAAGGAGGGGTCGCTATGAGTCGGGGCTGACTCGACGGCAAACAACAACAACACAACAACCACCACCACTCAGGAATCTCCAAGCCGTCTGTGCGGTGCCGTCAGGATCGCTGCCAGACCGCAGCTCTGTCTGTCTCCTTTTTAGGTATTTTCATGCAAATTCTTCTGCTAGTTGGAGTTTAGTCCACTTCTATATCCTCCCCTTTAAGGCTCAGGGGTCCAGGATTATCTTCTGTGTATCTGTTAACTGGTTTCCCTTTTCTTTGTTGTAGAGGGTCTGTGGAGTCTTTCTGCCTAGTCCGCCATCTTACCGGAACTCTACAGTAGCTTTTTATCTTAAGTCTGCTTCCAAATTTCAATGTTTTCATAGACTTTTTTCATCACTTAATTGAATTATATCTAGCTAAATAATGCATGAAATACATGCGTCTATAGAAGTATAACGGGGGGAAAAAACTTACTTTGGACTTTTAACGTGTTATCATTAAAAATACTTCCTGAAGAATTCATCTCTCCTAAGTCCAGTTAGTATTTATGCAGCATTTTATGCAGGAGTACAATTTATTATAATTTGAAAATTTTATCTAATAACTGTAGCTCATATGAAATTTCAAACTATGAAACTCATTACCCCCCTCCAGATTCTTTACTAAAGTGAAAAATACATCAAACACAGTTTGAGGAAAAGTATATTTTGTTCAAAATAATCTATATTTAAAAACAAAAAAAATAACATTCTCCTCACTCTTCCTTCTGTATTCCTCTTTCTTCCCTAGTGAAAAATGTCTAGTTTGAGACCATTTAAAGATGAGAGTGATCACACTGATCTTTGAAAGACTGGGTCTTTTTGTCAAAGATAATTGAGGTCTACAGCCTTTGGTAGGAGCTCTGGTAGCATAGTGGCTAAAGCACTTGACTGCTAACCAGAAGGCTGGCGGTTCAAACCCACCAGCCACTCCTCAGAAGGAAGGTTGGGCAATCCTACTTCCGTAGTGATACTGCCTCGGAAACCCAAGGAGGGGTTGCTATGAGTCGGGGCCGACTCGACGGCACATAACAACAACAACAACAACAACAGCCTTTGGTATGGATTACATCTCAACATGAAGAAAACAAAAATCTTCACAACTAGACCACTAAGCACCATCATGATAAATGCAAAAATATTGAAGTTATCAAGGATTTCATTTTATTTGGATTCATAACCAATGCCTGTGGAAGAAGTCAAGAAATCAAATGATATATTGCACTGGGCAAATCTGCAGCAAAAAAGCTCTTTAAAGGGTTAAAAAGCAAAGACATCACTTTGAGGACTAAGGTGTATCTGGCTTAGGCCATGGTATTTTCAACTGCCTCATATGGAGGGCAATGAATAAGGTAGGCCAAAGAAGAATTGATGCATTTGAATGAACTGTGTGGATGAAGGTTACTGAAATCTGTCTTGGAAGAACTACAGCCAGAATGCTCCTTAGGAGTGAAGTTGGCAAGACAGCATCTCACATACTTTGGACACGTTATCAAGAGGGATCAGTCCCTGGAGAAGGACATCATGCTTGGTAGATAGAGGGTCAGCAAAAAAGAAAAAGACTCTCCACAAGATGGACTGACACAGTGATTGCAACAATAGGCTCAAACACAGCAACGACTGTGAGGATGGCACAGGTCTGGGCAGCGTGGGGTCGCTAGAGTTGGAACAGCCTTGACAGCACCAAGCAACAACACTTGGTAACTTCTGACATTTGGTGAATGTCCAAATTCAAATCTAATAGAAATGTGACAAATGACCTATCATTCTTGAGTCTAGTCTCTGAACAGAGGCATTTCACCCAACAAGGGTCACATCAAATGCTTTCCCCAAGCCCAGGGCTGTCAAGGTGGCCTCAAGAAACTTCATTTTTTCACTCCATGGCACCTTCGCATTTACAGACGATCTTGACAAAAATGCCTTTGGTTTAAGATGTTTTATAAATACCACTTCAAGAATATTTGTTGATTAATAATCAGCTTTATTGAAAGCAAAATTAGTCATACTACCTTCAGTGCATTAAAGAGGAAAAAAAATCTTCCATTTAGATGCTTTTCTACACATGCTATAAGCCAAAATTATATAATTATGACTAAAAGTTGGAGTTAATCTTAAATTTTATATTCTCAGTATTCACACTGTTATTTTCCCACCAATGTTTTAAAATATTCTGAAACCACACATAAAAGCATTTCTGTCCTAGGAATTAACTACACATCAAAATCTAGTGGACTTGGTTGCAGTCATGGCTACTTTGCTGGTCTTAGCTGATAGTCTGCCATCAGGTGTGCAACTATCTAGGGTGAAAAGGAAAAGCCAAAGCCTGAATATCATGGTGCTATGATTTAAACAGATTCAACCTCCCCACTCACTTCCACTGCCTGATTATGCAAACAAACTTTTTGGTCAGTATCTACGAAAAGAAATTAAACCGAAATATAGCCTTAAGAGAGGTTGTAGGCTCTGTCTGCTCTGGGACAAAGGCCACACAAAGGGTTCAAGTGATGCTCAGGATGGCTTATCCACAGCTCAGAAGACTTACAAAGCCTTTAGACAGCAGTTGTTGGATTCATTGGCTTACCTGTTCAAATTCATGCTTAAATTCTAATTCTTGATGTCAAGTTCAAGTTCACATTGATGACCAATTCCTGCAAATGATGGCAGATTAAGTACTCTCCTCTGTTCTCAAATTCACTATTTTGGTGCTATCTTTGGAAAGCCATTTATGAATAATTAGGAAACCCTTTACAGGGAGCTCTGGTAGCTTAGTGCCTAAGGCACTTGACTGCTAACCAGAAGGCTGGTGGTTCAAACCCACCAGCCACTCCTCAGAAGGAAAGTTGGGCAATCTCCTTCTGTAGTGATACTACCTCGGAAAACCAAGGAGGTATCACTATGAGTCGGGTCCAACTCAACGGTACATAACAACAACAACAACCCTTGACAAAAAAGATTTCTATAAGGCTGAGGCTGCCGGCTAAAGCAATAGACCAAAGAGTACACTGCACACATGGGGTCATCATAAGGCAGAATCAACTCAGTGACAACAACAGATAATGCTGAATTGTTCTCAGATGGTGTGATACTTGGGGTTGGTGTGTCAGCTTGGCTGGACTACAATTCTGAGTGGTTCAAGCAATTGTGATGTGGGTTATTCCCATGAGATTGGCTGTATTATGTTTTGAGCAGCCAATCCATTGAAAGTAAATCTCCCTAGAGATGTGGCCTCCTTCCAATATATTATGGACTTTTTGGGAAAATGAGACACTCTTCTGTAGATTGCAATCCTGTTGTGCTGCCTACAACTGTCTGTGAGTGAATAATCCCATCATTCAGCCTCATGATCTTGGATTCATCATTTGTTGGAGTCAATAGCTGGTATACTGCATGCCAACCTTGAGCTCAGCCCCTGCAGCTGCGTGAGTTGGAAAAAGTCTCCAGCATGACATTTGATCCAAGAACTCGGGACTTGCCAGCTTCTATAAGTGTGTGAGCCACTTTCCTAAGATAAATTTCTCTCTCTGAATGGGTC